GAAAAAGAAGTCACGACTTTCTTCCTACATTAAAAATCTTCGATTCATGCATATCACGAAGTGCAATGTAACACAATAACATATCGCGAAGGAAGTTATGCGCACAAGGCATCAGTGGATCGAAGGCCCGATGGATCGGGTGGAACAAGGTGTCAGAGATACTTTGCATCCAGATGTGGAAAGACGTCGCGTATGTTTTAAAACAGAGGGCGAAGATGGGATTCCCATGCAGTAGAGAGGGACTCTTAAAATTAATGAGGCAGTATGTTCAGTTTAATAATCTCAAAACTAAACTTAAAAAATGGAGTTCCTGGAACTATTCATCATGAAATGGCCAAGAAAAAAAATCGCTACAAGACTTAACTCCACTGACCTGTGGGGAAGACTCCACTGTCTACTAAAATTGTTTTTTGCTACACTTAGAGAAGCTGGGGAGAAAGCAATTGCAAAAAGTGACAAAATCAGGGAGGTCGATCGGCAAATAAAAAACAAAAAGCAGTCGTCCTATTAAATAACGAGATGCAAGAAATAAATAAAACTGAAACGGACAGCTAGACTCTGAAAAGTAAAATAACTGTGGACGACTCAAGACTGACAAAGAAAGTGACGAAAGTGACAAAATTTCATTGGCTCGTAATGGCGATAGTGAGTAATTGAAGAAAAGGAAGAAGAAGAAATAAACTTTAAAGGAAGCATCATGTTAGATCAATTTAAAGAAGGGAAAAGTAACGCGTCTACACCCACGTATGATCGGTCAAGGAGGCAATGAATCTGCACGACGGTGATGATGAAATGATGGTACACGTATGTAGATGCATGGACAGTTGTACGAAAATCTTCAAACTAATAGAAAATAGGATTGTATCAATAAAATATTGACAGATTTTAAATACGTTGCCATTGTCTGAAAGTAATTAGGGAAATAATAAATTAGAAATTCAAAGGAAATGTGCCATATTATTTTGAATTACATATAACTTGTATAATGTAAGTATTCAGAGTTTAGTTATGCGTCTCAATTCAATCTCTATTAGAAATAAATGGTTACAACAAATACAATTATATTACAGTATAATACATTTATCTATTTCTCATGTGGGCAATCTCACGTGCAATTTGTTCTAACAAAACTAGTTTGGCTACTTCACAAGGGCTAGTCTAACGCTTGTGAAGTGATCTAAACCCTACTCCTAATTCCTTCCCATTTCTGGCCGCTGAGTAGTGACGCAGGGGCTCGTACGAGGAGATGCTACTTGGCGGTCCTCTTGACAACTGACTGCGACGAGACGTGACACTAGACGTAAAATAAAAATGTTAACGGAATATTACTCCCTAGAAAATGTTTCAAAAATGGAGGAATACTCCATAGTAGATGTTTCAAAAATGGAGGAATACTCCATAGTAGATGTTTCAAAAATGGAGGAATACTCCATAGTAAATGTCACAAAAATGGAGGAATACTCCACAGTGCGCTCAACGATGCTTTAGGGGGTAGAAGGTGCTAAGAATCTGTTTCTATTAGTCAAAATGTTTTTTGGATAGATAATAAAAATAACATCACTTACATTTACCCCAAATTCTTGGGGTAAATGTCAACACCAAAAAATTTGCGGTAATTGTAAACGCAATAAAATTTAGTATTCCCCGTTGCAATAAATTCTGAGACTGAAATTTCATGAGGTAAATTATTATCTAGCAAATCATATTTGAATGCATTTTCAAATAATTACATGCAAATAATTAAATGAATACTATATCTCTCTTCAAAAACAGTTTACGTTTCCCCACCTGACACTACAGAATTGCAATTCCGGGGCAAGATGTAAAATATAAAAAAAGCTGACTGCCACGTAAGAATAAAAGATTTTCCCTTCAAATGAAACATCACTTCCAGAAAACCGATCTATTGCGCGAACTTGAAACTTCGTTGCATACCCAATTATTTGCGCAATATGTTTTTCACCCATCATTGCGATAGTGATCTAACCTTCAAATATCCATATCTAGAGGAAATAATCTCAAGCTCTCGACAGATAAATAACGCACAGTTCACGTATCTTTCAAAGTAAGGACCGATCACGCCCACCAGTTCTGAGTCTACTTTAATACTTATATGAAAATAGCCAGCAAACTTATTAATAGTAAATATCGATTTGGTTGATTAATCGAATAAAATTGTTCCAATAAGAAATCGAAACTACAAATTATCAGATATATACTAGCATCAAATATTTCACAATCGTGGGTATCTGTCGAACTAAATATGTTACGAAATTAGAAATCATGCTGTTTACAAAACACGTAATTGTGGTGGAGGTCAAAAGAATATGTAGTGGAATCAGGGACAAAAAAATATTGTGATAAAAATCTTCTTTATCTAATTTTTTCTTTAATTAGGATTTTTAAATTTAAATGAAATGATACTGTTAATGATGTAGTTGGTTAACAATGGTGGTCTTTACATATGAAATATTAATGACGCGCACGGAAATTTTTATTGTAGATAATAATAAAATATAAAAATGGGAGGAATGTGAATAAAATTCTATGGTGTTTGAGTTTTGTTACCTAACGCTTTACTTTTTTATACGCAATACATAATTGTGTAAGCGAAATGACTTAAAATATTTAATTTGCATTCATGTTAAATTATAATAAACGGAAATTTTCTTCGTTTTCATTGGTAAAGGGTTTCATACATGTTTATGGTTTAATTTTTGTGACGTGTGATTTCTGTCCCATAACAAGTTAACCAACCTGGCACAATATTGCACACTACGTTAAATATTTTAGGTTGTGAAAACGAAAAGGTCTTTGTATGAAATCAATTGCCATTATCGTCATATTACGTGAAAGAGCTGTAACAAATCAACGAGTCAAAGATCATATCTTTTCACGAGGAAAGAAAAACTTATATGAAATCGACCTTTGGTTATGAATAAAGTACAAGAAGTCCATCGCCGTTTCTCGTCAAAAATGATTAATCAACTGCACACTCCCTGATAGGCGTTTGCACACAGGTCACGTCATAATGTCGAGTAGCTCCCGGCGGCATAAGTGAACCCCTTGCTCCAATGTAACCAGGTCACAGCAAGGCAGCGACTAATATGCTCTGAATGAACTCGCACAGATCATTGCAGAACGAAAAACAACCGCACGGGGATTTCGTATACAAATATCAGCATGGAACAAAATCTCTCGACGATTGGTACGAGGGAATGGCACTTCCTTCCTCGCAGTGTTAACTTCGGCAACGATGCCGGAACTTGATAAAATCTTAGCAGAGACAGTCTTAAGATGGGATTTGTTCTTAATTTGCAATTTAAGGATTCGAATATTTCCAACTGGTCTGTGATTTGTCTCCGATACGCAAATACTCACGAATTTGAAAAGAAGAAAAAAGAAGAAATATTATGCGCAAATACTTGTGAATTTGAAAACAATAGAAAATTTTACACCATCAGTAACCGCTATGTAAGCAGGTAACAGCAGGCGAAGAAAATAAGTTCGCAACACTCCATTATAATTTCAGTATTTCGACTAAATAGCGAAGTTGGATTTATAAGTTGGTAGTGGCAGATTTCAAACCTGTTTAACTGCTGGGCTAACACAAGTTATCACAGCAATTGCGGTTAAATCCATCACATTTTCGCTTTATAATTATTTTATCTTCAAAGAACACTCAAATAGATTATGATACGCCATAATATTCTAGCAGATAAGCATCCAGAAACATTTCTTCTTTCAACAAGGCAACGAAAGAAATGCTAACGCCTTTGTTTCAGGATTTAATCTCCAATTTGGCGCTTTGTCTTAACTGCCGCTCACACGAAAAGTGTGTACATGTTAAAAACATTAATAATGCCCTGCAGGAAACATTTGACGGGTACTTTCTATTAATATCGCTCTTCATACCAGAGTGTCTCATCACAAATGCGACAGGAAATGACAGGCACAAAGACTCATACATACGGAAACGGCTGAATTATCAAGAGCCCAATTCTATTCTAGCGACTCGTCGCTGCTTCTTCTCAAGAGAAAAGGGTTGTCGACAAATGTCACGATGTTGTTCAAAGCACTTAACTTATATAGTTCTATAACTAACTTAAATATTTCTTGTTTTCTAACAGAGATTCTAGTCAATTATAAAATATAGCTAAATACAAATTTTAAGCATTTCCACAAATTCAGTTCAATTAAAAGGACATCAATCGAACAAAAGACAAAACTATTAACCTATAAAATCTAAGTTTTCAAAAATATTAAACTATAATTCTTCTTTTCGGCAAAAAAATATTTCGCAAAAAATATAATATATCAAACGTATCAACAAGCAATAAAGATGTTACAAATCCTGACGAATTCTAATTATCTAATCATTTTACGATCTAGTCTAGGAAATGACTATTTGCAGGAAAAAGGATTAGAAAATGAAGATCACAGAATGTAGCCTACACAAAATATGTCCATAAATTATGAAACTAAATAGAGAATTTTAAACTTCATGAAACTTATATGCAGACTTTAGAAAATTGACTGACAATATTTTCGAGTAGCACTGAATATTATTAACATTGGATATTGAATAATTAACATTAAATATTTTTAACATTTTAATATGTGAATAAATAACTGATTGTGAACGAGTCGGCGATCAGGTCGAAGGAGTGTAGTATCATGAGTAATACTAGTCGAAGACTTTCAGAAGCAGCTACATTTTACTCGAAACACAAAAGATCGATTGAACTTAAAAAGATATACCTCAGAAACTGACAAAAGGAATAAAAAATACACATTCATTTCAACTATGCAATGAATCTACTTTATTCTACCTGGAAAGGGGAAAGGTGTCAATTAATTATCTCCGCACGTGACAGTAATTCAATGCAATTCATAGTTTGAAGTATACGAACGTTGATGTCTCATGCGTGTAAAAACAACTCAACATTTCTTGCTTGACCTCTAAATGTTCTTTATAACAAGGTAAGGCAAATACTTACTCTTTTTGCGACCTTCGCGGACAGTGTAGGTGAGTTCGCTGAAGGCGATGTCGACGGGTGGCCGCTTGGGCAGGTGCGTGAGCTGCTTGGTCTGCGAGCATGGCTGCATGAGCACCTTCACCGGAGACTTCCTGTCGGGGTAAGACAAATCTACGTTATTGGTGGCCGCGGGGACGATTTCCACGGCGGCGGCTTTGCCGCGGTCCAGCAATTCCATGTTGCTCGTAGGCATAGTGCTTAGCTCTCGCTCTTGCGCGACCCGCCGCTTCGAGCTGCTCCGCCTCACTGCCGCTCAGTGCTCACTGCCTCGGCCAGGCCGCACGCACTCGCGACCGCCCAGCACGTGACATGGGTGACGGCGGCGGCGGAGGACAACGAGGAGGAGGAGGAGGAGGAGGAGGAGGGGAGGCACGACGGGCTCGGCGTCCTCGCTACGCGTAATGACCCTCCCCCCTCCTTCCCACGGGTCCCGTCGCCCCGGGCCGCACAACCGCGGAAAGCGCACGGGTGCGCCCGCCCCCCCACCACCCACCGCCCGCGGCGCATCGCTTTGGTGGCCGAGAACAACCTTCGCCCCCTGACCGTCTCCTCCCGCAACCGATGGAGAAGCGACTCAAAGAATGGGATGAAAGGTCGAAGAGCGCCAGGGCATCCACATGAATGCTTTCTCGGACCTTTGATAATGACGCAAGATAAGACTAAAAAACACATGCTCCTGCAGTGTTTTAAGAAAGCGTCCGTCACCTTCGTCCCTTTCATTGGACTGCGGAACAAGATCTCCAAGTAGAGGCGGGTAGTCCAACAGCACGTGCTATAGAAAGCAGAGAGACAAAGCGGACGGGTTCCCTTGGCGGTCGATGAGCTCCAGGTGATGATAGACACCACATGGATATCACTGATAACATATTTTATAACCAGCTATTATTTACATAATTAGAATTCTACGAAGCGCGCGAGAATATGTAAAATATAATAAAAAACAACCAAATTCTATTTGAAAATGTATATAATCAAAAACAAGACAAAGATAATAGAATAAACATGCCACGTTCTAGAATAACGTAAATGTAGTTTTCCCTTCATAGTGCATAGCCTGATCGTCGCCATTGATAAAGGAATTTACTATTACAACCACCAGGATAAAAAATGTAAGATTGTTTTATTGCACATTTAAGAAGTGTATTTTGATGGATGTTTAATACAATTTTAAACCCACTTTACTAAAACGTTAACTAATTAAGAAAGAAAAAAATCCAATATTAGCATCAATTAGAATATTCAGGGATCGTTGTGCAGAAAACATTATTCAAATGCTCACAACACTCTCTTCTAAACAGTCACAAAGTATAGCATTTTGATCAGCGGAATCTTCACTACGAGCGTGTTCTAAATGTAGGTCAATCTGATAATACTGCAAATTGATTTTACATTTCCAGGCCACAACAAATTTCTTCCTCAGTAACTCTGGTAGATGGTACAGCCAATAGTTCTCGTAAGTCGTGCCCTACCTGCCCTCTTTTGAAAATCAGACTGAATAGCTTGGATCATCAAGCCGTAAACTTGCCTCCGTTATCCCCTGCGTTTTATTAATGTAGTGCATTTCACATTTTTTGTGGCATTTTCAACATTATCTTAATTTCCTTGATCCCCAATCATCTTTTATAATGTTTGCTGAAATCCTAGTAATTCTTCACAATTGAAGTCTTTTCCTATAATGTGAACGCACTGTCTGGTAAATTTCGTGATTATAACCTGGTGTTAAAATTTCTGAATTCCAATTTAATATGTTTTCTATTATTTCAAAAAAATCTGTCAGCTGACATATTCTGTTCCCACAAAATTATATGAGTTAACCACACGTTTTCAAGCTACATTTGTGCATGGATAGAATTATTCAAAATGAATGAAGCAAAACTCATGGCACTTTCATCGTACTCTTAACGCACTTTCTAATTAATTAAAATTTACTTTTTAAATTGTTATCGATTTCATTAATAATTCTGGACTAATTAACTTTCGTTTTGATAGAATGTATTAGTTTATAAATAAATTCAAATAAACCATTTTATAGTGACTATTTATTTTATTCGTCTCAGAAATCTGTCAGCATATCTCAACGAGTGTGTGCTATGAATGTGTACCTCTATTGTACGTTTACATCACGTAACTTGAGAATAGTGCATAATACACGTTTTCAGAATAAGCTACTTTTCACACAATACACCACAACATTATTCGTCAAACAAAATTTCGAAAGCGATTTTGTCGGGCAGCGTTTCGAGCATGTATCATTTTCCATTCACCACTTAAATGATGACAATTTCTTAATTTCGTCACGTCGAAAATATTTTTTTTTACATAGAAATAAAATATTCCCCTGATTTTCCAATGAACAGTCAATTCCGTTTTCAACCAAGCGTTAATAATACTAGCTCAGCAACGCGAATCATGCCGCCAGAATGCCACAGTCAGTTGTCAATTAGACAACTCGCGACGCTCATGGGATATTCGATTCCGTGTTGCAGCTACCCCTACAATAGTCATTACACTTGAAACTCGGCTAACACAGCGAGGAGAAAGAGGAGGGAGAGGGAGAGGAGGAGTGAGGGGAAGAGTCAGAGGTGGAGAAAGAGGGGGAGAGGGGGAAAGAGGAGGGAGAGGGGGAGAAAGAGGGAGAGGGGGAGAAAGAGGAGGGAGATAAAAACAAGAAAGACAACAGGAGAAAATAACTAAAGGCGAAAAGAAAGAGGCGAGACAAAAGAGGAAACGAATACTGTGTTCTCTACTTATACATTCGGCATCATCTTATTTTTCGTTTATCAAGCCCAGATAAAGCGGACAGCCAGTTAAATCTATTAACACCAACCCACCAAAAAACTTCATCCGTCAAAATATCAATATTTTTTTTGCCCGGAACGAGATGAAATTAAATGATTTTATTCATTGCTGGCAGCTACTAATTTAGTTACCGAGATCCCCAGTAATATTTGATCATTTGGTTCGCATGCATCCACGAGGTAGATTCTCCAATGACACACTGATAACGACGCGCTTCAACGTCTCATGTTCGCTCAAGTTTGTTCGATTGTTCAATTTAATAAGATAATAGCAGTTCGGGCCAGCTGTACCGGGGCTTTTGGCGAAAGAAATAAGAATGTGCAAAATGTGAGAACTGTCTATGTAAATAGAGACAACACAAGTCAACAGCTGACGTTTTTTCTCTCCTTTTCTTTCTTATTCTTCTCATTATTTATTTTCTTTCGTCTATTTCGTATTTTCCTTTTCCTCCATCTTCTTCTTTCATCGCGCTATAAGTATTGTGGCATCAGTATTGCACGGGTCGCTGCAATAAGGAGTACGTATAAACTTCAACCTGCGTCAAGGCGGGTGACTGCGTTTGAAAGCGCTAAGCTAAATTCATTATGCCGATGATACCAAACGCAAAACACCTGCGTGCCTTTCTGTTGGCCCACAGTCTGGCTTCAGCGAAGATAAAACGCCACAGTATACGAGAGCATTCAGCGCTGAATGCTCTAGTCGACTCTGTCATAGTTTCTCTTCATGCAATCGCTTTCAATTGAAAGGAACCAAAAATTTGTGGGCGGCCATAAGAACTTGAGAATAACCCCACAGAAATCCCAAGAAGTATTTCTTAATCTGATTACTTGCTTCACACTTTATGGAGTCAAAGAGCATATCATCTTATCTTGATTAAACCAAGGACTTGCGATCACGAGGGAACATGATCAGAAAGGTTAATGCGGGCGTTGTTGTACACTAATAAATTGCCAACAAGTGTCATGTTAATGTTACTCGAGGCATTTTTTTAACCAGAAAACGAAGGTGTTTTCGTTATCTAATACTTTTGTAGTTGCCGTGTAGAGATGATTGTGACAAATACTGCCGTTATCCAAAACCTGACATCAATGATGCAGAATGACGTTACCATTTCAAAAATACCGAGCAGTTTGTGTTTTTAACGTTCTAGCCCTTCCTCTTGATTGGAAATGCAATGAGATCAACGTTAGGTCCTTTCCCGCCAAACTACAATTAGCGGTGCTACAACAGCATATACTCACTCACATTAGTAACGGTTTTGTAATATTATAACACATCTCCATGTACATTTGGGTAATTTTAGAAAAAAAAAAAAAAACACCAATATGAACTTTACGTCATATTAAAGGGTGGAATTAGCACTATCCGTTCGAAATGTTTGAAAAAAAATTGAACCGCTTTTTAGAAAATTAAATTTCACCTCCCCTGGGGACACCGCCTTGAAGTAGCACTGTCCGTGCGGGCGGGGAGGCTAGTGTGCTTCGGTGAGGTGGAGGGCTAAGCCGGCGGTAGCATGACTATTTTCTACGCATGACTACTGGTAGGGTCACCTGCGGACAGGCAAACTTGAGGCCAGACTAAGTCGTGTCCTACCACGTCCTATCCATCCAATCTTAATCGTACATTCTTTCATATCTTTGTCTTCCCCATAACGATGTGGCTCATATCGTTATGGTTTCCTTAATCTACCATTGTGAACATCTTTAACTATCTGTGGCCACAATGCTTTTCATCTGATCTATCGCCCTCCTTGGTCAACTTCTTTGTTTTTTCTGACCCGAACGCTATTAGGTTCGAGGGCTAGGGAGTCTTTCTCATCTCTCTTCCTTATTTCTTGAGAGTGTAGTAGACAGGTACTTACGCGGGTCACACCCCAGAAGCATCCCAGTATGAATGGTTGCATGTCAACAGGAGAAGGTGGGATTCACTAACCTTGAGAAATTAATTCATCTAAAGAGTGGATCAGGGTAGGCTGGACTCCTTAAGCTATGGTGGAAGCACTCAGCCTAACGGATGGGACACCCTGAATAAAAGCTCCGGTCTCCAAGGTTTGGGGGTTGTGCTGTGGGCCAGCACCCTGCACAGTCAAACATCAACCGCTAAAAATTCAGTTAATAGCAAGTGCCTCGGATATTTCAAAGGGAAACGACATCAAGCAACCGAAAATGGACTCCTGAATATTGGTATATGGAATGTACAAAGTATATCAATAAACAACAAGAGTATCCAAGGAAATGATGAGAAGAAAACATAGATAAGCCGTCTTGGTCTGAAACAAAAAAGAAAGGCAAGG